GCAGCCATCAGACCAGCTGGCTGCTCAGGCACTTTTGTAGTTGTGGTCCCCCCATCTGTGCTGCTTGCCCTCATCACCCCACTTCACAGGGTGCATGTTTAAGCCTGCCTGTGGCACCCCAGCCCTACATCCCAGCACCCTAAAGCTAAGCAGCTTTTTCATGTCTTTGCCCATTACAGCACAAATCATTTTCAATTACTTTTGCTTTCAAACTAATTAAATCACCTCCCTTCCGCAGTCCCCACCTGGGCCTAGACAACCTGGGACTCGTGCACTTTACTTTGCTCACTCACACACAGTTAAATATTTCATGCACACCCTTCGGGCTCATACACTTTATTGGCTCAGCTGTTAGATCCAAAATGGCTGAGCAAAGGTCAAAGGACATGTTCCAGCTTTTATACATTTGGTCAAGGGGACTGGTTTTGGGCATGGAACTTACAGGCAGGCAGAAGGAGAACAAAGGCATCTTGTGAAGCTGGGATAATTTTGTATCTTGTTGGCCATGTTCTCACATAATGGGAAGCATCCTGCTCCCGGAACAATGGGAATAGGAAGTTGCAGAATTTCACTTACAGAGACTACAGCTTCAAGAGCAGAAGCAATCATGCACCCAAGAACTTTCATGTCCGAAGTCGCTACGGCTTGGATCCTTTTGATACTGAAACCACCTCTAGAGTGTATTCTGCTCTGTTTTTGAGTCTCTGCTGTCAGTCCATCATGTTTGTGAGTAGCTGTAGCACCTCAACCTTGGTTGCTCTCAGCTTAAGCCCAACAGAAAGGCCTAGAACCCAGCTTCTAAACCCACACTATGCTTTACCCCTAAGAACAAGAGAATTTATACAGGTGGAAGATATCCATCTATACTTGGACTTATAACCTGTCAGGCAGCAGGCCTGCCCTCCTCCTCAAAATAAGCCTGCTGTACAACCAGCTGGCCTACAACACCCTCACATACCCTCCCATGACCTAACAGACATCAAGACGCAGACCTTTCCCCTTGCTGAATTTGCTGCGCAGTTGGCCAGCCATCCTGCAGTACTTGAACATGCCAGAGTCCAGCCCAATGGCCGACCAAATGGCAGCTTGCCCACCAAAAAGCCTGCCATCAGCTGTCAGCTCACCGTCCCTGCTAACCCCCATCCTGGCCAAACAGTGGGCCAGGTGACAGCCATCCACCAGAAAACCTGAGCAGGCTCACCGTGGTTGCAGATATCTTCACTCTAGGCCCTCAATTTATCCGGAAACATCTCTGGCAAATATTATTACTGAAGAAGCTATGAAGGAGTGACTGTACTGTGTCTATACAGAATCAAAGCTAATATACAATATCCAACTGAAACCAAGCATCATCCATAAGAAAAGTCTCCCTATCTGAAAACAATATATAAAATTGAAAAGAAAATGCCTGTGGTACTAGATGTATAGATATCAACGTAGGAATAAGAAAGAAAGAAAGAAATTAAGACAAAGGACCAGATTTTTTAAAAAATTCCTGGGAATGAACAAGAACACAGGCATTCTCTAGTAGCAGACTTTAATAAAGGAAATTTACAAAATGCCAGAAAGCAAAATTAAAGAAGCAGAATGAAATTATAAGAAAATACAAGCTATTCGATGCAATCAGAGAAATAATTCATGATCTAAATGAGAACTTCAACAAAGAGTTCATAAAAAAAGAACCAAACAAAAATTGTGCAGCTAGAGAATTCAATGAATAGAATCAAAAAGGCAATTCAGAGCTGCAGGAGATTAAATGAAGCAGAGGAAAGGATTTCTCAAATTTAAAGAGAGCTTCTTTGAATTAACCCAGACCAAAATGAGAAAATAATAATAAAAGCTCATGGGACCTATTGGGACATCAGATATGCAAATAATTTGAAGGTTCCAAAGGGAGAACACATGGAGAAAGATACAGAAAGTATTTTTAAAGAAATTATACCTGAAAACTGTCCTAAGTCTTGAGAGAACTATGGACGTCCAGATTCATGAAATTTAGAGAACCTCAATTTAGACTCCACCCAAAGCAGTCCTCTATGAGACACATTAACAGGCAGTCAAAAACCAACAAGAGGGCCAGCCAGATAGCCCAGCAGATTAAAGTGCCTGCAAGCAGGCATATGGGCCGGGGATTTGATCCCCAGGCCTGCCATGCCAGCCCCACCCCCAGGGCGTGCTGAAAGGGCAGTTGAGACTGGGCATGGTGGTGTGCGCCTGTAATCCTAGCTCTTGGGAGGCTGTAAACAGGCGGATCACTACAAGTCCGATCTAGTAGTGAGACCCTGAACACCCTGTAGATCCTTCCCTAAAAATACAAAAATAGCCAACAAGAATTCTAAAACAGGGCTGGGGAGATGGCTCAGTAGCATAAGCGCTTTCCTGGCAAGCGCGAGGGGCTGAGTTCAATCCCCGGTTCTGCAAAAAAAAAAAAAAAAAAAAAAAAAGCTAAAACAGCAAGAGAGTAACACCAAGTCACATATAAAGGAATCTTTATTAAACTAGCAGCAGATTTCTCAGTAGAAGCCTTGCAAGATAAGAGAGGGTGCTTAATATGCTGAAAGAAAAAGAAAGCTTCTGGATAAACTTCAAAAATAAAAGAAAAATAAAATTCTTTTTCAGACAAGCAAAAAAAGAAGTTCTCACTATAAGACTATTGTTACAGGAAACATCTAAGGGAGTCCTACATCCAGAAATGAAAGGGAGATATCTGCCAGAGTAAAAACATAGTATAAAAGTATAAAATTCATTGGTATTATATTTATATAAATGAGAAAAAAATGAATCAAACTTTCTTACTGTAGAATACCACCAATCCAGAGATTAACAATAAGAGAGGAAGAAAGAACAAAGGATATATAAATCAACCAGAAAATCAAATGACAGAACTTAAGTACCTAGCTATTAATAACCTTGAGTGTAAATGGATTTGATTCCCTAATTAGAAAATATGAGCTTACATACTGGATTTTTTTTTTTAAGACTCAAATATATACCACCTACAAGACCCACCTCAGCAGTAAAGGTATACAGACTGAAAGTTAAAGTATAGAAAAGGATATTCCATTGCAAAGACAATATTAAATAAGAGTAAGGGTTGGATTGGTTAGGATAGATATATAGTTACATTCTCTTAATGAATAGAGGGATTTGTTCTAATGGTGTTTGTAAATAGGATATCAAGTCCACTTCTTGT